ACAATATATTCAAATGGTATGGCTTTTTTCCTTCTCTCCTCCAGTGTCCTCCTCCAGGCAGCTGCTGAGATTTACAGCTTGCCTGCCCTGAGGTTTTTCTTTTAAACGCTAATAAATTGTCCTTGATCTTAAAAAAAGCATGTATTTGGACTTGGCAGGTGCACTTAGGGACCTCAAGATGAAGAGAATGTCTGACATAATTCCAGTGAGGGAGCAGGTCAGAATTAAAGAAGATGATGACGAGGTGAGAGCAATGCAGCCACAAGCCAGGGGAACTCAGCAGCCTTTAGGAGCAGGAGCAGGAATGGATCCAAGGCAGAGCCTGTGGAGATTATGACCACACTTGGATTTTAGTCCCGTAAGCCCCATCTTATTGGGGCAATGTTTCTGTCTTGGTTTAAGCCACTAAATATGTGGCCATTTGTCACAACTCCAAGAAAGTGAGAACACTGCTCCATGGTCGGTGAATGGGAGGGTGTCACACATTTTTGTAAATCCTTATTACATTTCTGCAGACAAATGTCCTTGGGAGGAAGGCTAGTTTAGAGACTGGATACACACACCCCCATTCAGAAGGGACAGCACTGATGGAACTACATGTAGGCACCAAACAAGGCCAAGGAAGTGGGTTTCCCAAAGCTGCATTTGTTAAAGTGCACCTGGAACACGGCCCCAGGCCAAGAGACCAGGCTCTGCCACAGGACCCATCCAGATGGGCTCCAGCACCATCCTGGGAGCAGCCAAGAAAGCTGCTGCCTTTCTCAACAGCGTTTGCTACACTCCCACATAACGGGAGCCGTGTGTGTGTGTGTGTGTGTGTGAGTGTGTGTGTGTGCGCGCGCGCGCCCCACGAGGAAGAGGATCCATCACTCTAAAGCTCTGGGAATGGGAATAGTGGGTGGTGACTAAGTGGCTGGAGAGATGCCACCTCTCTGGGTTCTTTATCAGGTGCACATACACTCAATTTGAAGAACTTTGTGAAGGAGCAAGGGGCTAAGTCCTGTTCCTGAAATTATTAATGGTTAGTAAAGCTACACTGCTGCATCTTGGCTAATTATGTCCATATAACACTCATTCCCTCTCATCCACAGGGACCCATTCTCAGACCCCCAGTGGTAACCTGAGCCTGTGAGCAGTATCGAACCTGATACAAACTGCTTCTTCCCACACACCCTGCAGCACTGTCACACTGTGCCAGAGTTAATTTGTGTGTTTCACACCCCAGTGCCTCCTTTGCTTCATTACCTTTGGGCTTGGGAGTCATTATTAAGTAAAACAAGGGTTACTTCAATGCAGGAATTGCAACATGGTGACAATCAATCTGATGACCAACAGGAGAGGAACATGTTACAGCATATAGAGGCTGGACAGAGAGTGAGTCACATCTAGGTTAAGATGGAGTGGGATGCATAAGACCTCATGATGATACTTAGAACAGGGTTTATTTCTTAAGTTTTCCTTTTAATACTTCTGGACTGCAGTTGAACACAGATAACGGAACCTTTAGAAAGCAAAGCTGAGGCAGAGGAAGCTGTCTACGAGCAGCACTCAGTCCTGCCTTTGTGTTTACCTGGATGGGCCCCCACTTCATTGTTTTTCTTGGTGGTTGGTGCAGGTGCCCTGACAGTCTTGCTCACTGACTCTTTCCCTTCACATCAGGTAGATTACATCTCAATTTCAAATCTGAAAGGCCATATTTCTTTAGTTTTCCCAGAGAATGTGGAATGTGCCAACCTCAACTCACAGCTGAGGCTTAGAGATGTACTTCTTTGTAAAGCATGGTCCAGCCCCCCTGGAGCAGGACAATAGCCTAAATACAGGGGAGCTTTCATGAAGAAGGTGGGGTGTTTGACAATTTGATGTTTCTGATAGTCTTCCCCGAGCATCACCTGGCTGTTTGTTCTACCCTAGGGCAGGAGACAATTCCCAGATTAACTGGATACCTGTTCCATACCAGCCTGTGTTAGGGCCCTGAGGAACTACAGCTAGCAAGGTAGACTCCACCCCTGCCCTCCTTGAGCAGCAAAGAACAGTCACACAAGCCACTGAAGAGGAAGATCTGGGTGTTGAGGAATTTCACTTCATCCAGGGAAGCAGGGCTGGGGAAGTCTGTGGAGTACAGCCCGGTTCTCTTAGTGCCCGTTTTCCCATTGCTTCCTGCCTCGCACAGAGAGGGCAGGACCTAGCACAGGATCCAAGTCTAACTTCATCGGGTAAAGATGTTTTAGGAGGAGGATGAAATCGAGGGCAGCATACCAGAGACCTCGCCTGGCTGGGTAGGTGCTTGCCTCGTGGACCTGCTTGCAGCCTCCTGCCTCAGGGAGCCTTCTCTCTTCTCTTCTGTTCATCCCTTGCTCTAGACTAAGCTGTGAGCTTAAGTGCACCTGGCCAGCCATTTTTCCTCAGTACCTCTAAAATGGGTTGACACTACAGGTATGCTGTAGCCTTTAATTGTCAAACCATTTATGTTTCATCTAAAAATATCTGAGCAGCTGCGGGCTTGAATCTCCCCAGGAATGACCTAAAAGCAGTGTAGTGAGGGCTGAGGAACTGCTTCATTCCCTGTGGAATGGGAGGCTGGGATGGACAAGGGAGGGAGCACCTCATTCTCAGAGGCAGACATTTACCCCCAATTTGCCTTGTGAAAAGCCATGAAAAAACCACACAGGATTTTTCACCCCCTCCCTCCTGCACCCTTCCTAGCCGCAGCAGTGTCCTGGTGAGCAATGTTACTCTTATGGAAGAAGGGTTGGCTGAGCAGGGGCTGAGGTGATGTGGACAGGCCCAAGTCACCCAGTTTCCCTCAACACCCACCCAGGTTTTTGGAAACCATGAGTGTACAGAGGAAATGAGATGGCTGGAATTATCTGGAAGCACCTGGAAGGCTATTGGAGCAGCAGTGGAAAGCACTACTCGCTCCTGGATCTGCCACCAGCTGTGACCGTGACCTCAGGCAGCTCACAGGGGCTCCCTGAGGCCCTCTGCAGTTCTATAAAGGAGGGAATGCGGATTGACAGATTGAGTGCAACTCAGAGGTTCTCATAGTCCATCACCTGGGCATTGCCATCTGTCATTACACTGTTGACAGATGAGGGAACTGAGGCACGAAAGGTTGTGCCCTCCCAGCTGCTCCTGCTAGTGTTTGAAGCAGGACCTCACACGTGCTGCTGGTATGAGCATTGACAGCCATGTGTGTTGGCAGCCTTGACACTTGTACAGACACCTTAGATTCTGTCCTGAGGGATGAAGATACAGAAAACAAAGCTGCTAATCACAGCCCTGGTGAGAGATGAAGTTATTAAGTTATGGAGCACCAGTACAGAAGCAAGCTGTCTGCTCTGACATTCTTCCGTTGATCCACGTCCATGGCAAAACAAAACTGTCTGCACTATACCAAATGAAAATATTAGAGTTTATTCCAGTTTTTTTGCTCTTTGTTTTTTGAGACAGGGTTAATGGATAGCCCAGGTTGGTCTGGAACTCCCTATGTGAGCCAGGCTAGTCACAGACCTGTAAGCCCCCTGCTTTAGAGTCCTCTGCATGCTGGGATTACAGGAGCATACAAGAAGGTGCTCTCACCACACCCAGCCAGATACCAGCTCTATGCAGGTCTTAGCTCCCTTTTGCTCCAATCATATTCCTGTAGGAAGAAGCCTACACTGGTGTGGGTCGTATTCCACAGAGCACTGGTGCCGGGTGACATTTCCTGGGGAGACGTGAGCAAACATCTATTCACTCGAGATAGAACACCAATGACAGAACAAAAACGATTCCACCCAAGTCTAGCTTAGCGAATCAGTGAGTTTACTGTTGTTACTTACAGGAGCATGGGAATGTATAACAAACCCAGCATGGATGATGACTCACAAAAGGTGCACCCCTAGAGCTCGCTGTGTAACTTGTAGACAGCTCATCTGGCAAGAAAGTTTCCTGTTTCCAGCTGTTGTTATTGCGTTTATAGTCTTGGGTTCTATACTTTGTGAATCTTGTAACTTCCAAACTTTTGGAGCTTCATGAGTTGCATGAGTTCTTTTCCTCTCTCTCAGGAGGGAACGTTTGAATTAGGAGAAAATGGTTACACAGTACTGGCTTAGGGACCTGGTAGGAATTAGCTCTCTGCTTCACTGACTTAAGATATTGACCAGTTCTTGTCATGTGTGCATTCTTGGCAACCAGGAAGACCATGCTGTGGAACTCAGTCCTCTGGGCATGAAGTGGCAGGTGCCATCTTGAAATCAGAGCGGCTGAGATTACTTACATAAGTCCATTATTCACAAGATGGCATCCATTAACATTCCCTCATGGAAAAAGGGGGGTTGATGAGCCTTCCTTCCGCACAGGATAGTAAAGGTAACAGTTACTCGGGGAGGAGGGGTCCTCTATGATGCAGCTCCCAGTAAGTTGCCCATGCTCTGTAAGTAGTACCAATACTCACTGATTTGCCAAATGGTTTGGGTGTAATAGTTTCTCTGGTCTCTCATTGCTTTTGTCTGCTATGAATAGAAATAGACATTTTAGAGAATTTCACGTGACAGGCTGGGAGGGAGGGTTGAGACTGGGTTTTTCAGCTCTTCTTTGTTCCTAGTGTGGGATACTTGGGTCTTCCTGTCTAGTCCCCACAGCTTCTTACACCCCAAGTTTACTATCCTGACAATGCCAACATCAACTTATGTTTATATAATCTGTGTCTAGCAAACCCACTGCTGGAATCTAACATCTGGGTTATGGCACATGTGACCACATGTTGTCCCCAGGTGGGACAGTAGGCACAGGACTATGTGGTCCTGTGTCATCGCCATGTAGGGACTGGACCTTTCAGTGCAGGTAGCCTTTCTGTGGCCAGAGGCCTCAGAAGGCTGGGCAGGCCTGAGCATGTGGCCACCTATGGTCTGAGGGGTCCTGCAGAAAGTTTTGAATTCTTTGTTTTCTTTGACTACTCAGTAAATCTTACACAGCACACACACATTTTTCATTTTATAAAAGAAAGAACTTGCCTTGGATTATATGAACTCTTTCAAAAATCATGTGAGCCCTATTAAGCTCTTAAAGATTGCTTTCCCTAGTTTCTTTTCCATCCTTGGCTTCATGGGAACCATTCTGTTTCACAACATGTTCCAGTTGGAGACATTGTGCTCCCTGAGGTCTGAGGGGGAAGGAGTATTGCTGGCAGCCAAGCATAGCTGGGTCATTGGTACATCCAGGCAGGTCGGTGAAACTGGGTAAATGCTGCCTCTAAGTAGCACCTGTGCTGAGGGAGAGGCAGAGGAAATGAAAAAATATCTTTCCCTTCTTACTATTTTCCTTCCCCAAAAGAGGAAAATATGAAAACAATCCAAGGAACCCACAGCCAGGATTCTAAAGGTTAGAGTACTAGGGAGAGAGAGCTGATGCAGGGCCCAGGGAAGCCCACCCAGCACAACTCATACCAACTTGATGAACCAATGAGCTTATTGGAGTTATTCAGGGAACCATGGGCAACTGGCTGGTAGTACAGAAAGATGGAGTGATTACTCACATGGACAGGCACCCAGAAGTCTGAGGGACATGAGGACCCAACACACTCTCTGGCTGACGTGCAGCATTTTCTACCCAGCAGCACTCAGGGCCTTCAGAATAAGGTTCTCTGGAATCATTCTGAATAGCTTTGAAGTAGAAAGAACAGTTATGATCTCAATTTTTTTTTTGACATTTTGGTATTAAAAAGTCAACCACATGAAATCCCTTCAATTTGAGGACACAGTTTCATCAGCTTTCTCCCAGATGTAAGGCTGTGACTCCATGGCAGACTGGAGGACAGACACTGTGTCTGGTCTACCCTTTGCATTTTCTTCTGGGTGACTTCCTTCCTGGCAGTTGACACAGGGCCTGGATGGCAAGTTAGCTTTCATGGCCGTGAAACCCAGGTGGAACTGCCCCCACTCTGCTGTGACTGTGGTTGGGTTCTCTTGGTGAGACAACTCCTTCACCTGTTTTGGGTCATGCTTCAGCCCTCATTTTGAACCCTTTCCCACTTATATTGATGGGTTTGGTGGGTCTCCTGAACATTTGTGCTGTGCATGATTCCTCCATAGGTGATGGCAGTCATCTGAGAAACTTACGAAGTCATAGCAGACAGCAGCTGGAGAGAGCAGCAACTGGGGGAGGGGTGGGAGATGGAAGTATTCATTTGTTGAGGCTTTGTGTTCCTATGATGACAGGTTAGGGACAGGAGGCAGATGGGAGGAGATGGGTCAGAAGAGAACATGGCCTCATGAGCAAACCTGCCCTTTCTTTTTGGTGCTGTCTCATTATTGATGCGCGCCACCCCACCGGTGCTTGAGTGACCCCTAGGCACTAGGAAAGTGGAACTACCTCCTCCTGGACACACAACATACCCCCACCCCCATTCAACCTTGGCTATTACACGCCGGTCCCCAAACTCACCCAACTATGGTTTATGCCTGAATCCATCACAGCTATAACAGCTCCTAATTGGGACTCTCTGTAGATTTCACAATGCAGATATTCATACCTACTGAATGGACTTCTGAGTGTAGGGGCAGCATCTAATGCCACTGCAGGCCCCTCTACCTCTCTTTGGGAGATGTTGGTAGAAGGAGGCCAGTACACAGCACTTTCTAGCTTTCTTTTTCACTTTTAAATTGGAAACGGTTTCTCTGTATTCCTCTCACTGGGACAGCCAAGTTCAATGAAATCCTGGAATGGCTGGCTCAGAGAATGAAACAGGCCAGGCAATACCCAGTGCAGGAACAGAAGCAATGGGAAAATAGCAGAGGTGTGGACTAGAGGCCAGTGGGCAGGCTCCCCCTCCAAGGATGCCACTGGAGCAAAGAGGCACCAAGGAATGGGAACTTTCAAATACACGACTGGGGCTTTGAACAAGCTCACCTTGCTCTTCAGAGACAGGGTTTCCTCATGTTTACCTTTCTCATATTTCTGATGTTCTAGAATATTCTAAAAGTATGATTAACCAACATTGTCAATTCGAGGGGACTCCTGAGTCTACAGGCTGACCATTGAGCAGCTGCTTCTGTTCTGTGCCAGGGAGAAGGCTGCACACGGCTTGGTTGTACATGTTCCCAGAAGGCAATGCACATTTTTTTTTTTTTTTTTTTTTTTTTTTGAGACAGGGCCTCCCTGTAGCCCCAGCTGGCCTGGAACTCACTATTGAGACCAGGGTGGCCTCAAACTCACAGAGATCCATCTGCCTCTGCCTCCTGAGTGCTGGGATTAAAGGCGTGCATCACCACACCCGCTGACAATGCACACTTATAGGGACAAGTTAAATGGGGCCTAGTTTACGTATGTTTGAAGAGTTGCTTTAAGAACTACCTGGCACTCCCATGATACACTTTGATAAAATCTCTCCATCCCACCAGCTTCTCTCAGTAGTCATTCCACCTGCATAAGTTCTTGGTGTTCAAGATGAACTCAATGTGACTTGTCCCCGTGGCAAAGGAAAACTCAGCTGTGGCCCCTCCGTAGTATTTGAGACATTCAGACCCAGGGATCAACTAATTGCCAAGAAACCCTGAGAGGGATTTTTCTGGATGAGCCTGTCTGAAAGGTGTGTCTGGCTAACAGGAGGGGCACTGTTTACAATCAGGTTTGGTTTGATCACCTCACTCCTTTTCTCCAGCAGGAAAACCTGGGCCTTGTGCAGAGGTGAGGCTGTGCTGGCAGGACCAGGGGTTGGGGCTCTTGGAAAGCTAAGGCAACCCAGCCATGTGGCTATCCCCCCTCAGAGAGGCCACATTTCTTTGTACCTGTTGTTTTTTTCTCCATACAGTGGATATCAAGATTTTTAAAAAGAGGTTGCCCTGAAGTTCTTTCTCACTTGGGCAGTTTACTATGAGCAGAAAATGCACACCTACATTAAAGAGGCCCCTGTGTGCTGTGTGCTGAGCTTAGTCTGGCGACAAGTGGCTCCAGATGGCAGCTCTCCTAGAGGTCTAGACAGCCAGGCACAGAGTCATCTGGAAACTTCCTCATCCCTCCCATCTGGGTCAGAACCCACAAGGGTAGCACCAATCAGGGTTGGTGAGTTTATGCAGTCACATATAACAATGATGGGACCACAATGGTAGGCAGGTGTGCAGACATTTATTTTAAGCCAAGGAGGCAACAGCACTGAGGCTTTACATTGGAAATAGCTACACATACATCAGAGGTTGGGAGGGCAGCACAGTGGGAAACAGGCAGAGTAAAACATTCACAATGTTGAGCAGTGTTTGGACGGAGAGTGGGATATAGACGTGTTAACATCATAGAACCTTCTCATCACATTCAGGAGGTCAATAGATTGGTGGGTCTGGTTGGTGGACTGCAGTGAGTAGCACACAGCATGATACTCACCAGAGGGGTTTGACTAGAACCACCCTGGAGAGATCTGTTCCAGCTTCATGCTTATGTCAAGTTCAGCTAAGCCCTTGACAAATCTCTTCATTCCAGATTTCTCTGGAAAAAGATACTCATAATGTAACAGACCCATGGCAGCCACATCCAGATGTAGGCCTCAGGTGGCTGCTGTGCAGAAGGAAGAGCCTGTGTCCATGGTTTGATAGAGTTGGGCAGGCATGGGTGTGGGCCACCTTCCCTGCTGTCCAGTTAATAAAAGTTTTTGTACTTGTTATGTAAGACCATTTTCCCCCTCTGAAATGACAGTACCTTGAACAACAAAGCCATTTAAAAAGCAAGGGAATGGCATGAGACACAAATAGAGACAGACAATAGTAACAGTGATGCAAGTGTTTGGTCCGTACTTCACACTGGCAATGTTATTGCCAACAGGCTGTCATTCATTTAAATGATAAAATGTATACAGAAGCAATGAATTCTTTTCAAACCACTTGTAGTGATCTTACCCCTACTTTTGAGTTATAATTCACACTTTCATGCATCCCAGAGAACCAAGATAAAGAAAACCAAAACATTGACGTCAGATTAAAAACATAACCTTGGAATCAATCTGTAATTCTCAAACTCTTTCTTTCAACAAAGTCAGATACCCTCAAGTCCTAGAGGTGAACACTAAGATAGCTTTTGAATGAGATGATACTAATGATTAATGTCCACCTTTACCATCTCTAAAACCACAGCTACTAGGCTCTAGACAGGGAAACTCAGAAAACAATTCACTTCACATGGCAGAAACAACAACAAAAAGCATGGCAGTGTGTTCTCATCTGTGTGGAGTCAGCTCTGTGACTGGTGATGGTCAGGATTAGTCCAGTAACACAGCATTCATGGGATCATAGAGTCACAAGCTTAGAAGAGACCTTAGGGCTATAGAATTCATGCCTCATTCAAAGCTCGAATCCCCTTTTCAATATCTTCGACAACAAGCTCTGTACTTAAATTTTCCCTGGCACGGGAGTGGGGAGCCCACTCCAGCACAGGACAGTTCTATGGGCAGACACTGCTGCCTGGGTTAGACTAGAGGCCTCTTGGTGGGAAGGCAATGTTAAAAGGTAAAAATGCAAACCCAAAGCCCTGGTTGATATGTGGTCCTTGGTTGAGCTACAGTTTACATTCCTGAAGCCAGTTACAGCTTGTGTCTTGAAAAAAGGGCAAATCATTTAATAGCAAAAAAATAGTACTGGTAAGCCCCGGCAACTGGTGCTCATGCTCTGTAGAGCCACATCTCTCAAAGAGTGGATGCCCAGAGCCTTTTTAAAATCTAACTGCATTGGGAAAGCTTTCCCAATGCAACTGACCCACAACAAGGACCTACCATGTTTACTACCTTGTACTGGAATGATTCATTACTTTGCAGAGTGTCCCAAGGCCAAGGAGGACAGGGAAGACAGCAGACATCTAAAAGCAGTGCCTATCCTGTCCTCTAGGTCCACCTCACAGCCTCTAACCAAATGTAGAACACCCAGAAATATCCAAAATTGGAACACTGGCACTGATTACAGGGTGAGCCTCTCAGTAAGTGTCCCAGGGAACTGCATAGTATACCCTTTCAGGGGGATGACACGGTCGTCATCATCTGATAACCACAAGGGCTCAGGCTGCAGATCCATAGCTGAGCCACTTGATGTTTCCTGGCAGTGCCTACCCCCTTGAAGTCCCTGTGTACCCCAGGCAGATTCCAGACTGTAAGCTTATATGTGCTGTTTTTGCCTACATTTCCCTTTATTTTCCTACTTAATTCCCTCCTCATCTGTGGCCACTCAGTTTGGAAGTCCTCTCCCTGGTCGAATCTTTTCTGCCCTACTAGCTGGGTTAGGGAGGGGCACCCTAGGAAGATTTGCGGGGGGGGGGGCAAACACACTTCTATCATGCTAATCACACATGCTAAAATGATCCATCTTCTTATGTGTGTAGACTGTGGGGTTAGAGAAGGGCCTGGGACCTGGGGCCCAGTTCAAAGCCTGGCATATGATGGGTGCTCAACAAGAGTCGTGTGAAGCTGAGCCCACATGGTGGTACATGCCTATAATCTCAGCACTAAGGGAGCGGAGACAGGAGGGTTACCAGTTTCACCCCAGCTTGGGTTACATAATGAGCGAGTCTGGGTCTCAAAAACAAAAATAGAAACAAATAAGGAACAGTTTGACTAGAGCCTAAGGATCATGTAGATAACAATCAATTCAGTATCTTTTTATCAAGGTGCTAGTATCCACTTTCATGTCAGGAAAAATTTAACCTTACATAATTTTGTAGGAAAGAAAAACAAGAGCATTTTGGCAAAATGCTTTTCTTTCACTTTAAAATATAAATCTTAGTGAAAAAGCTCACTTTTATATAATTGAACTGCCATGAAAAGACAAAAACCAAAGAAGCTCATTTAATCTCAATGAATATTTATGGATACTAACTGTGATATAGTTTAGAGCTATTCTTTTACTTAAAAGCCCAAATTCAAGCTTTTTAAAGATGTTGAGTAAAAATATATTCTACTTTTGAAATGTGCATCTGAGGCTATGAAAGGTGCTGTCTGACAAGGACACGTCTCAGTCGGGACTCAGGGGAGCAGCCGGAGCCAACAGGGTAGGCTTCTGTAGGACACCCTGCACATGAACGCCAACTCCATCACTGGGGTGGTCAGTAGGACATAGTATGGGAAGGAGTCTATGTATGGATGAGCTGTCACAACTGTACCACTCATAACCAGAGACAGGGCCAAGAGTCATGTCAAACTTGCTCAAAATAAGATCAAACCTGGTTCCAGAGACTCCCTGTCCCAAGGCAAGGGAGCGGCTCTGTCTGCCTACTTGTGCGGTTACTAGGTGATATTCATAAACAACTGCTCCTTGAATATGCTTTGAGATTCTCTTGTTTATACGCAGCTCTATCTAACTGCCTGGTATGACTAATGTGTTTTCTTCCTGGAACATTCTAGATCTCAAGATCCCTTCCAGTTTTGTAATTTTATGATTCCATGAATAATTCAAACAATCAAATGAGAAACACATTATGGTTGACTGGCCTCATAAAATGACACAAGGTTCCAAGCACTCCTTTCTGAAGCCATTTTTTACTACTGTGGAGACACACCCAGGCATCTCTGGTAATATCATTCCTTTGGAGGGATGAAGAATACAAGATAGTTTTCTTATACCAAATAGGAAATAATTCTGCATGACATATGTATTCTACTTTCCAACACAGCTACATTGAGTACCATTTGCCAGAGCTATTTTTCTGTAGTAGAACAAAAATAAGTAAAGTGCAAATCCATAAGGATGACATAAGACCTGTGATTTTCACCTAGAGAAGAGACAAACCAAGCTTCGGGGTGTGAGCTTTCGTGCCTGATGGAGCCTCCCTTTCCATACAATGCTTGGAAGACACTGAGCACCAGCATGTATTTATGGGTTAAAAAAAAATAGCAGACACTTCATGCAAATGCAAGGATTCACAGTATTACTAACATACACAGTTGGTCTGATAAACTCTTTTCAACAAATTCAGCAACCACACAAGTAAGGAGAGAGGAAAGGGCAGAGCAGTGGGTACCTTGGTGTGTGTGGTTTTCAACCACGATTCTCATCACCAGTGAAGTTTCAACCTCTGAAGGGCTCTACAGAAGGGGCTGAAGCAAGGCTGGGAGGTGACTAGAGTGAGGCACAGGACCACCCAACACAGCAACACAGTGTTACATGTGATCTAATGCAGGTAATCAGTTTCCCAATGGAGTCTGAATTCATCTATATATACCTACCAGGCTTGCTGGCACCTGGGTCTCTGCTTCCCTAACCCCATGTACAGTCATGCTCCGAAGTTCGGAGAGGAAAGCTCAGGGAGACTCATTCCTGTTACTCATTTCCAACACACATTATTACAACTTTGGTAAATGGCTACAGAGTCTAGCAATAAACTACAAGACAGACACTTAAATATTTTAGCTCAAATTCCCTTTTCAAAGCTCCATAACAGAGCAATCATGCAGAAATGACTCAGAGCAGTTATAACAGTTTTGACTGAATGTGGCAGGCGTTCCCTGGAAAGGACAGTTAAGCAACAGTGGTGATAACCGTGTGTGAGCACCCATGTGCTTCAGCACATCCCCAGAGTTCTGCTGTCAGGTAAGGGCTGTCAGGGGCATGGTTATTTGGAGTACACACACTGGCTGGTGTGCTTCCCAGTGCTAGCCAGAAGAACAGTTTCAGGAAGCCCCATCCTGGGAAGCACTGTCGGTCAGGTCAGTGTTAAGGGTGGTATCCAAGTACAGTTAGTAGTACCTCCCAGTAAGAACAGCAACAGATGATCATGGGGATGGGGGATTGCAATTTCATTTAATTACCATCCGCCATGAAAAAATCTGTTAAATGAGAAGTGACTAATATACTGTACAGGTGTGACACAGAAAAGGTAGGGCAAGCAACTGTCCCGCGTTACCTCTAAGACTTTATCTGACCTGGTGACCCTCGAGGTGTCTAGTGACCTCCACTGACATTCCTGACAGGAAAGGATCGAATGAGGCAGAATATGTATGAAGGGCTTAGAGTGGGGCAGTTCCCAGTACCTGCTTGCCACCAATTTTAATTCTATTTTGATGGGTGAAAATAAGACGTTTTAGAAAGGTCTTTGATATCCTGAAATGACTTAATTCATTTTCTCAAGCTTGATTTGGTTTCCTCAGAGGTAAGAATTCTTTAGGTTCACTTTCTAAAGTCATTTTTCATGTTCCCAACAGGAATGCAGCATGAGCCTCAGGGTTTCGGTACCTCTGTGTCTCAGATCACAGGTTGGCTTAATATGAAAGTACACATTAAGATAAAGATGTTTAAATATCTGGTTTCTAAAAAGGAACTAAATATGGATGGTGGACAGACCGGATTATAATCTTAGAGTAATAAACATTCAAGTTCAGAGATAATACCACACAGAAAAAAACACCTTGAAGACACTTTCTTTTGGAGCATGGACATTTTTGTTTTTCTTGTTAAGAGTAAGGAAGCGCTATGCAAAAACAAACAAAAAACAAACAAAAACCAAAACCCAAATACCAAAACATAACAGGTTCAAGAGACCCTGACAGAATTCTTAAAGATGCAGGCACTGATGGCTGAAGCTCCGAGTCACTCTGCCGTGCCTAGGCTGGTGGAGCAGCTTCTTACAGGGTTCTCTAACATGGGAAGGCAGAGAAAACTGAGGCGGAAACAGATCATTTCTGCTCAGGAAGAACGTGAATACATGAGACAATACACTCGGATTGTTCTGTAGGTGATTCAAGAGGTCAGCTGGTAAACACACACACACACACACACACACACACACACACACACACACACACGGTTTCCAACTCTATCCACTGAGGCCATCAAAGCAGAAACACTGGAACAAACAGTGTAATTACATCACTCTGGTAAGAGGCAGAGGTTAGGCAGGTGAAGTCATGAGAGAAGAAAAAGACCCTGCCTGAGACATGCTGGGGCGAAGAAAACGTGGAAACCACTTTATAATGACCAAAACACCCCAAATAGATATTTCTCTCATTTTTCTGACATAGGAAGTAATGAGTGCAATGGAAAGTTGAAAAATAGAAAATTAAACATCCCATATAGATTTTTTTTCAGTGTACTCAAAACAATGTAGCACAGCCAGACTGTATAAACCATTTGATAAAAAAATATCTTCTTTTTCTGTTGTATGAACAAGTTGAAGAGTCCCTGGGACCGTTGTTCTTTCACTAGTTCACCACTGACTGTGTAGGGAAGATGCCAGTTCATCCTGTCTTCAGTTTCTCTTCCTGCTCACACATCTGCTTTACTTCTCCAGTAATGATTTGCAATTCAATCAAGCATTTCTTCAGTGAAAACTATCTTTCTGGTTCCTGGGAGTGTCATCATGACACCACTGGGGTCATATCCCACAACTGTGAAAAAGCAAGAGAAGCCAGATGACAGACTAAGATCAGACTGTGTTGAGGATGAACCGTTCTTAGAATGGGACTCAAGTCAATGTTTTTTAATTTCCAATTACCAAGAAAATATATACACCACTAGCATGACTTCTAAATCCGTAAAGCTCTAGCACACAGGGCAGCTTCTGTTTTGCTCCCTCTAAGGAGAATAAGTGCAGATCAGATCCACTGGAGGGAGAAGGGAAGACTAGCATACTCCAATGCTCTGTCTTCCATATACTTCTCAGGTGATCTTCCAAACAATTCTATATGATGTCAAACATGAAGGGACCAGTGGCTTCCAGAGTTTAGCTGAAACTTGCTTGTAGTCACAATGGAGACTCCAGAAAGGGTTTTTAACTACCTTATCCTGCAGCTGTCTCCAGAACAGGACAGGAGGTCCTTGGCCTCTGCTGTGGCCCTGAATCCATGTGGCCTGCCTCTGTCTTCAGAGAGGCCTTGATGAATGCTCTTGGATTAATTAATCTCAGTGGGAAAAGATCTTGTGGCTTACTCCAAGTCTGCCTTCCAACCAAAGGTCCACTCAGCCCTACATGCTTCACTGTGAACTCTGAGGATTATTCTTGCTTACGCTACTCTTGTAATAGCTGCCATATAGGACTCACTGTCGTGTGTGTGTGTGTGTGTGTGTGTGTGTGTGTGTGTGTGTGTACCTGCTACAGGACCTCACCTGTCATTCCTCAGGAGCCATCTATCTTGTGTTTTGAGGAAGGATCTCTCACTAGGACCTATGGCTTACCAATTTGGCTAGGCTGCCTGGCTATTGGGCCCCTAGGCTCCACCTGTCTCCACCTCCCCAGCAGTGATTAAAAACATGTACCACCATGCCCAGAATTTTTTTAATGTGGGTTCTGGGGACTGAAGTTAGGTCCTTATAAGGACTTTACCAACTGAACTATCTCCCCAGCCTCCTATTATTGTCTTTTAAAGATCACATCCCAAGTAGATTACCTGCAGGTTGGAGCCGTGAGAGCAGTAGGTGCTTAAAAATGTTCACTGCCAAGGACAACCTGAACACAGCTTCAAAGGTCTTGACCTTCTGGTCTATTTGCAAGGCCTACCATACAAAGCCCAATAAAATGGCACCTTACCTTAATCACTTTATCAGTTCCAGAAGTCAGCAACCATCCCCTGGTTGCATCAAAATGCACGTGTACAATGTTATGTTTACTGTCATGGAAGGTGGCTGTGGGCACACGCCTGGAAGGAACAAATGAGAGTAAAAGGGGGACACATGAATGATAGATAACGGGTGACCTTAAACTCTAATTTTTAGCCTAATGGCTAAAGCTGCTTCACCATTAGAACTGTTCCTGTCTTCATCCCCTAGAGATTTGTTATATGGTTTAATTTTATTATTAATTTATTTTGTGCATGTATGTAATGATGTGTCATGTTGCACATGTGGAGGTCAGGACAACTCTTAGGAGTTGATTCTCTCCTGTTACCTTGGCAATCTAGAGATTGAATTGAGGTTGTCAGACCTAGGTGCAAGTGCCTCTACACACTGAGCCATCTTGATGGCCCTATTATATGACTTAAAAATAATCAGGCCAGTTGTGGTGGCCCACCTGGTAGAATATGAACAGGCAGAGGCTGGAGAATCATGAGTTCAAAGTCATATAAGCTGGTGCAGTGGTGTACACCTTTAATCCCACCATTTGTGGGGCAAAGGTAGATCTTTGTGAGAGGGAGGTCAGCCTGGTCTACACAGCAAGTTCCAGGGGAGACTCTGTCACAAAAACTAAAAAACAAACAAACAAAACCAAAAAACCAAAAAAACCTCAATTAAGTAAAAGTACATTTCTAGTCTCCAAAATGGGAAAGATGAAAGTCCCAAGATCCTTCAGGAGAATGTGCTGTTCTGTTGGAGTCCATGAAAATCTATGCTTCAGAGAAATCTTTAAAGGACCACAGTGCCTTTGCCAAGTCTGTTCTTAGAAGGAAGGACTTGCTAGGAATATATTCTACCTTGGCCTATTAAAAAGATGTGTTTGTTAAAATGCCCAAGAGGCCACTGTGTTTCTAAACTTCATAGCATTCTAAAACTTTTAACAAGCGGATATATATGTAATATATCAGGCAAAAACACACACACACAACTTGTTGTGCTTTGGTCTATGGTTTTGTTGCTGATTTTAGTAAGAAGGCCTGTTGACTGCTTAGGTATGCTAGTAGCAACTCAAGGTCTTGCCCAGAGAAAAGGAAGAAGACATAGGGAGGCCAGGTAGCCTGGAGCAGACCCTCCTCATCATTTTCAGGGGTCTCTACTCTACTGTGGGCTCATAGAAGATGGTTTTCTTTTTTCTATAGCTAAATCTGGAGGAAAGACTTTCATTATACTAAACATGGTCAGTGTAAATGTTCAGAATCAAAGATTTCAGCTTAGCTTTCAAGTTCCTTTAGACTCTGCTGTCTTAATAAAATGAAGCATTGGAATTTTCACCTCTCTCCAATGACTAGAACTCTCATTAATCTCATCATATATAGGAGTGGAAAATAATCAATGACCATGAACACCACCCAGGCAAGGACACTTAACTTTGGTATGGATGATATCATTTACACAGTGCAGGGAGGACCACCTAACCTGTGGTGGGAAACTTGTTTGTGAGCAAACTTTTGGTGTCTGGGGGAGTTTTCAGTTCTCTAAGAGACAACATAGATTTGCTTCCCTCTTATTACAGCCAAAGTCTTAGGACACCAGGCAGAACTTGGGACTATTTACATCTTGAGGAAAGGGCTCAACTCTTCCCAGAAACTGAAACCTCCTGGAGCTCTTGCCTGATCCAGCACCTGTCAAGACACCAGCCTGGGCTCCAAGGAGAGTCCTGGCCCTGGCTCTCCGGGGTGGTTCTCAGTAAATGAGCTGACAGGTCTACTTGGAGAACATCTGCTGTCATACATACCTCTAGGGTTCAGAAGAGCATTGTGGTGAGTTCTTTGAGCATGCCCTCTCTTTACCTAGCCTTCATGATTACACAAACCTCTTGCTGGCAAAGAAGGGCTTTTACCGCATGTCCTAGTCTACAATGGACCCCAGCAAGCCAGGGTGGAGCCATGGCTAGAGTGCTGAGTGAAGCGCTCAGGCTGGCCTCTGTCCATAGCCTGAAAGGCCTACAAAGCACAGAACTTACTCCTCATCTGTAATGGCCTCGTGGCAGCTGTCACAGACCCTCACTTCAAACTCGAAGCCCATCAATGGGATGGAGGAGCGCTTGGAGCTGCACTTGCCACAGACAGCCTTCCCACACTTCCGGCAGTGGTGCTGGGGGAGGAGAAAGAAAAAAGGTTGCAGGGGTCTGGCCACACTCCAGGAACACTCAGGTGAGACCAAGTGCTCTCAGATAAAGACACTAGACCATAGTGCCCTGGAGTGGTAGCACATTTCAATAATCCCAGCAATGGGAGGAGGCTGAGGCCAGAGGGTTGTGTGTTTGAGGTCAGAGTGTGATTGTGTCTTAAGTGGAAGGGCTTACTTTATATTTGATGTGGGTAAACAAGAATACATAACATTATTTAACTGTTCTATAAGGTGCTGAGAGGATTGGGAAGACTGGTTATCGTCCTGCAACTGAACACAATGCAACACTGCCCTGAAACCTATAAAGGGTATATCAGGTAGGTGTCTACTCCTGGTGGTCTCTATTCAGAATGGGAATTTTGGGGATGCTTCCTCTCTCTTACTTTCCCATTCTCTATCCTTTCCAATTACCACTGCTATGAGCTACACACATAGGAAGCAGCCAACAGCCAGATCTTAAAGCTGAGTGAACTGTGATACATTTGATTTCCTTGGGGAAGACCACACTGGATCAGATTTTGAAATGCTGTGTTATAATAGATCTAAATAACTAAAACCAAGTCAGAAGGATGGAAAGTAAAATGATTAAGGAGAAATAAATATCCCTCGTGTAATTTCATGGTTTGGAAACAATATGAACTAAAGTGAATGAGCTTAAAATTAGAATGTTAAGGTATGTTTCAACTGATACATTAGAATTTTAACACAGTATCTCTCAAGTACTTACTGAGAACAAATCACTACAGAACAGAATCGAGTAGGAAGGGGTTGCAGAACACAGTGAGGTTGTAACAAGATGCCCATAGTACAACCATTTACTCCATTACAATGCCCCTTCAGGGTGCTGTTTAAATTACTTCCACATAATTACACCTGAATGAAGCACTCATCTCACCCACCTGTCTTAGGCCAATTTTCTTATTGTCCCACATTTGCTTGAAGTTCCAGAAGAAAGGCTGATCACATTTTTGGCAGGAATCACTGTCCAACCACTCAGGAGTCTTGTCAAATAAAACATACAACAGGTGAGGAGTGGTATGGACAGAGGAACCACAGACACTGCTGAAACTTTCAGAATTAAAATGTATTTATCAGAAACAATACTGATTTCTCAGTCACTCAAAAGTACTTACTGTCAGACCCTGGGGGTGGAATCTAGTGGTGAATAAAAAGAACCTAGCATTCTAGGGAGATATCCTGAAAATATTATTAGTAATGACTCAGTATGTCTGAGAGTATAAGGTCTAAGAGAAGTACATAAGGAGAAACAGGGGCTCTGGCACAGGATGGGATTCTCTGTAGAGGGCAAGTAGGCAGAGACCTAAGGCTAGAAGAGGAGGCCAGGCAGAGGGTAAGTGCAGCTCAGGATGACTGGAGGGCAGATAAGAGATGGATGAAGCTAGAGGGGGTGGCAGAGGTCATATTGCAGAGGCTCCTAACTACCATGTTGGAAATTTTACTCTCTGTGGTGCTTTGAATGAGAATGTTCCTCATAGGCTCCAAGAATTTGGACATTTTGTCCCCAGTTGGTGGTGCTGTTTTGGGAGGTCTTAGAAGGTGTGGCCATGCTGGAGGAAGCACGTCATTGGGGCAGGCTTAAAGAGTTCTTAAGCCTTGCCAGATCTCCAGTTAGTCTCTGATTCCTGTACCTGCTTGAAGATGTGAGAGCTTAGCTTCTGCTCCTACTCCAGCCACCTCTGCCGCCATGCCTCCCCACCATGATGGATTCTTGCCCCTTTGGAACGATAAACTAAATAAGCTCTTCCTTTTATAAGTTCCCTTGGTCATGGTGTTTCTATCACAGCAACAGAAAAGTGACTAATACAGTAATTGGTACCAGAAAGTGGGTTGTTGGCTGTGAAGAACCTGACCATATAGGTTTTTGGAGGAATGTGGAAGACTTTGGAAGTTTGAGCTAGAAAAGTGGTTGATTGCTATAAACAGAGCTTAACAGGCCTTTCTAGTAAACACCTGGAAGAAAGCAGTGCTGAGAACAACATTGTTCCAGAGGGAAATAAGGGCTTAAGCAGCAATTGGGATATTTGGCGAAGTCTGGCTGGAGTCTTCCCACAGCCAAAAAGCTTGCCTGAGGCTAAGTTGAAAAGCAAGGGACTAATTTCTTTGGTGGTGGAAATTTCAAGACAGCCTAAAGTAGAAATGGTGATATGGCTATTAATGGTGAATATTATGAAGATCTACAATAAAAAAGAGCAAATGGGGCAGAAAGAAAAGTAGAATGCACAGTTTGAATTGAAAAAGAGCACTAGGAAGATTTGATGTTGAAGCCGATGCATGTGCTAAAGGAGAGGATCCTTTTGATAAGGAGATTAAAGTGAATAAGGAGAGGCCTAGAGATTTGCACTTACAGTAATGGAGAGAGTGCCTCCAGGGCAAGACCACACTTAGCTAAGTCTCCAACTTGTGAAAGGAAAATGCTGCAGGGGTTTTCTACTAGAAAACCACTGAAGAAAAAAGTTTCTAAAATGGATGAAGCAGGCTGGAGTCCAACCCAAATTTGCAGCCAGACTTGGCAGTGTCATTCACCTGGTGCTGGCTTTAGAGGCAAGAGTGAAGAGCTCATTGGTCCTTTTGCAGTTTCAGAGAGCCATCAAGGTCAGGTAGCATGCAGCAGGGATTCCCTTGCACAAAGAAGGCCTTGATAAGTCATTGCGTGAAGCTGTGAAGGTGAAGCCTGGTTGGCAGCAGAGACTCTAAAAAGATGTTTGTGAAACCAGAACGATGAGACATCTGCCAAGAAGACCTGCATACAGGGAGTGGCACCAGCCCAAGAGAGAGGTTTTACACAGTAAAGCTGGAGAGGCTAAGCCATTTAAGCCCTTTGGAAGTAAAGTCCCAGAAGCTGGATGTGGAGCTATTTGGATTTGGTGTTTGTCCTGCTGGTTTTTGCTCTTGTTTTGGTCTGGTATTTCCTCACTATGCCTCTGTTCCTCCCTTTTGGAATGGTAATGTGTATTCAGTTCTACTTACAGTATGTTGGGAGTATGTAATTTGTCTTTTGATTTTACACAGGCTTACACTTAAAGAGATTGACCCAGTCTCAGAATAGACTTTGGATTGTGAACTTTTGAATAGTATTGAGACTGGTAAAGACTATGGGGACTTTTAAGGTTGGACTAAACACATTTTGCATTTTATATGACCTTGATCCTATGGGGGCCAGGGAGTAGAATGTGGTTGTTTGAATGAGAATGTCCCCTCATAGGCTCCAAGAATTGGGACATTTTGTCCCCAGTTGGTAGCACTGTTTTGGGAGGTCTTAGAAGGTGTGCCCTTGTTGAAGGAAGCACATCACTGGGGGTAGGATTAAAGAATTCTTAAGCCTTGCCAGATCTCCAGTTGTTCTCTACTTCCTGTGCCTGCTTGAAGATATGAGTGCTGTTTCTGCTCCTGTCACTGCCTGCCACCATGCCTCCTGCCATGGCAGACTGTAATTCCCCTGGAATCGTAAGCTCAAATGAACTCTTCCTTCTTAAGTTGCTTTGGTCAGTGTTTCTATCACAGTGACTAATACACTCTCTAATTACACATTGTGATGTCTAACTGCACATGACATATGTGTATAACCCCATCATGAGTAGTCTAAATTAAGTAAGACAGGGTTTAAAAAGATATTCTGCTTAAAGGTATTCTTTAGCAAATCGTGTGTGTGTGTGTGTGTGTGTGTGTGTGTGTGTGTGTATGTGTTATACTGGAGACTGAACCTAGGTCCTCATACATTAAGCAAGCACTCTACTACTGAGCTATATCCCCAGGCCTCTTCAAAAGATCTTTACATACTATGCATATGATGTCTACATTTGGCTCTAGTTTCACGTTAAACTGCAGAATTCATTACTTAGCAGAAAAAGTAATCTCCTTCTAAACAGGCCCAAGGAATCTTGACAAATACACCCAACCCAGGGTTTCCCAAAAGTGACCTATAGGGACAGCCAGCTCATTAGGATGCTTGGAGGCCTGAGATCAAACAAGTTTGAGAAATGCCACACACTGAAGCCCACTGCTCCTCATATTCACAGTGGGCTGCAGTGCGAAGGCAACTCTGGCTCCTTTCTTTGTTGATGTGACTCTTTCCTGAGGAATACCTGCATGTTTCTTTACAGGCCAGCCAGATGGCTCAGCATGTAAAAGCTCTTTGCTGCACAAGCCTGACCAGTGACCCTGGGTCACTGAAACCCAGGGTGGAAAGAGAAAAATGACTCTTGGAAGTTGTTCTCTGACCTCCATCTGTGCACCATGACACACATTCTCTCTCTCTCTCTCTCTCTCTCTCTCTCTCTCTCTCTCTCTCTCTCTCTCTCATAATAATGTATATTTTTAAAAGGAATACTTATTATAGATCAGATTTTAGGAATTAGCCTCTTCTACCTTCAGGCAGAAATGAACCTAATACTATATAGGTTTTCAAAAAACAAGTAAAAAGGGGCCTTTTACAGAGTTCTATTCTGGTTCTATTCATTTTATTAAACCCAAAAGAAAAAGAGTCAGTCTTGATTTACTTTTAATTTTCAGGCCCTATTCAGTTTAAAGACAGACAATACAATAACACAAAGTTCTTAGCTAAGACATTTTACCTCTAAAAGACCTAAATATACCATTATTTTTCTTGAACATACAATGTAGGATAATTCGGAAGATTATAAAAGAAATAAAGAAACAAAAACTTACTTGTTACAAAACAAATCAAATGATGCTTATAGTTTGTAATCAGATTAGATCAATCAGAAACTCCTGGTGGTTTGAAAATAATGCAACTTCTCATAGCTAAAAATTTTTTTACAGATTAGGAGATGGCTGTCAATAAAATGCCTCCCTGCAGCATGAGGACCTGAGTTTGTATCCCTAGCATACATGGAAAAGCCAGGTGCAGCACTTGGGTAATAGGGGGTGGGCAGACAGGTGGCACCTTGGTGCTCATTGGTCAGGCAGCCTGATCACATGCATGCATACACATACTCACATGCACATGTACCCCTACCATAAATATATACAACACACACACACACACACACACACACACACCTTTGGAACAGGTGTCAAATATGCAACAGTGAGTATGTATCTAAGAAGAAATTTGGAGGGAAAAAATCAGCACATTTAATAGGATTCTATTTTTGGTTAAAAAATTTACACTTGCATAATTATAAAGATTTAAAGAAGGGTGTTTGACAATACGGGGGGTTTTTGTTAGTTACAGAATTTTCTAAGTATACTTATTCTGAGTGGGGGGTATTATAAGTAATTTGCCTGCTTACTATTGTTAATAAGTATTTTATAATTTTCTACAAAGAACATGTACTATATTTAATATTCTTTAAAAACTGATTTTATCAGCTCTACAGACAAACACATGTTTTAACATCTGGGATGTCAACCTGATCTGCACCAGCCACTGCCTGCTCTGTACTGTCTCCCATCTGTCACCCTCATCTCTGACAGCTGCAAACCTCCCAGGAGCACTATCACACCACATGCAACCTCTCACATTCACCTTGTTCTTCACCTGGTGTTTCTTACCCTGAAAAGCCCATGAATCTCCCAGGAAGAGCATGTGCAGGCCCCAGTGAACTTTTCCCTGAGTGTCAGCCAGTCATAACACCCCTTTCAAAATACCCAGCACTGAATTTCTAACTAATGTAATTTCATCATTGATATCATTTAATAGCATTCCAAAGTTTTTGGGAAGCCTGTCAGCACTTCAGGTTAGGAAGTGCTTCATTACTGTCTCGGGCCTTGAAAGGTGAGCCATAGCCAGGAAGCAGTTTCCCAGATGAGTTATAAAAACAATAGCAGGAGACGGGCTTGTAAAGTATGGCATTTGGAAATGAAGGATAGAACCATTTCCATTGCTTACTTAGAGCCTTAAGACATTTTTTTTCTTTTTAATTTTTATTTATTATTTTTACTTTATGTGTTCATGTATTGCCTGCACGTAGGTAAGTGCACCCATGTTGTGCAATGCCCGGTGGAGGACAGAAGAGGCTGTCAGATCCCCTGGAACTGGAGTTACAGTTGTTAGCTGCCATGTGGGTGCTGGGATTTGAACCTGGGTCTTCTGTAAGAACAACCAGTGTTCTTAACCGCTGAGCCATCTCTCCAGCCCCAAGCCTTAAGACTTTTAAACCCATCAACAAATACTGACTGTCCACGTGCATGTCAAAAGACATAACTTAAGCAAGATGGCACCAAAGCCTGTCCCCCAAAGCCTGCTATGTTCTCAAACCACACTGTTATCTTCCTTTGGGTTCGTCCATTTAAAAAAAAAAAAAAAAATCCCACAAAAGCCAGGCCAGCCTAGATGTGACTATGCCTAACCCAAAGCAAGCCACTGTGCAGAACTCAAGGCAGGACACAATCACTGGTCCCAGTAGAGCCTGGTTAACATGGCCAGCACTCACTGTAATGATCCCCTGCCAGTATATGAATGGTGCCAAGTGTACTTTTCAAAAGCAATATTCTACAATTCCCTGTTTCCGACTAGTAATGATCATTTTAATTAGTTACTAATAGAACTCCTGTGGATTTATGGTTTCAGCAAATAAGCTTTAATCTTCCTAAGCATTTAATTACTGACATTTGAAAGGCATTACATTGTGGGGAACAGCAACTACTCTCGAAATGAGACTGGAGTTAGGACATGAAAAAAAATTGGATATTGTTTTTGTCTTTATAATGTGTTCTTTTTCTATTTAATTCTTACATTCTGCAAGAAATAAATTACAAGAATATTCACTGTCAAAGAGAAAGTCTACACAGAACAATTCTAGGGAAATAGAAAAGATGGTTAACTTCAAAATACTTGTCAAGGAGATATTCAATAAGCATTAGTTATTAAAATGCATACAGATTAAAAGGAAAACTTGTTTAAAAAGTATTATAGTAAAATTTAAATATTTGCTTAAAAGACAAATATACATATCTGGGGAATTTCTTAGAATATGACAAATAACCAAAAAATATTATTTCCAGTATTTCTATGAAAACCAAACTAAGGGTTCTTACTCCTTGAGAGTTTTCTATTTTCACAACTCATTTTATCCCCAAGGCTAGTTGTCAAAAAACAGGTGGTTCCTTTTTCTTACCTGTACTGCTGCTAATAAATGTATAACATATCTACAGTCTAAACAGTTTAGTCTCAGTCAAAATTCTCATGAACTTTCTACCACATTAATGTTACATGCCAATTTGTGAGGGGTGGAATGCACAGGGACTCCTCATATACTACAAATTTAATTTTATGACAGAATGTACCTTATACCATGGTTTAATCATTAAGGAAATACGCAGGAGGGGAGGGAGAGTCAGAACTAAGGGCCCAACTCCGCCTGCTGCGACACCTACCTCTTGCCTCTCAACATCCATGTTCCAGACGACAATGCCACCATCACCACCACATGAGATGAGCTGCCTTGTGTGCTGCGCATAGGAGAGAGCTTGGATTTTGTCACTGTGAAAGAAACCAAGGGTTGGGGTGAGCTTAGGAGAGCAAATAACAGGCTCCATGTAGAAAGCTCATCAAAGCCATCAAAGCACTCAAACTCAATGCCTGAGCCCCAAAGTACAGCTAAGAACTTTGTGGACTCTTCAACATACTAATGATCAGATCTAAAATGAGTCTAAATGCTGCTTTACCTTGCTCAGGCCCAGGGGAAGGTAGGCTTAGTCAGTTACTAACACTTGAAGAAAAGATGACTGCTGAATTGACTATAACATTAAATCTGTAGTACATATTGGTTTATACTTCTTTTTAATTTTCTTTTTTTACAGTTCTACAGATGTATATTTTGCATACTGACCACTCTTACCTCCCACCTCCTATTCCCCCATTCACCCCCCCCAAATCCATTTTGTACGTTCATGACTATTTGTTTTTATTTTGTGATGCACCAAGGTTAACCAGGGCTATCTGTGGGACCGTGGGTTTGGAGCTATTCCTTGGAGCCTGGTGAGCTCAGCAGAGGGTGTACAACTTTTTTAAAAAAAATTTTATGTATATGAGTGTATTGCCTGCATGTAAGTGAGTGCACCTGTGTTGTGCAATGCCGCAGAGGTCAGAAGAGGGCTTCGGATTCTCCCAGAACTGGAGTTAAGGATGGTTCACAGCCACCATGTGGGTGCTGGGAATCAAACCCGGGTCCTCTGCAAGAGCAGTCAGTGCTCTAAATCACTGAGCCATCTCTCCAGCCATGGGTGTACAACTTTTAAGGACAGTGATTCTTCTTCTCCCAGAATCTAGTGATAGCCAATAATGGTTAAGAAATAAAGGTCAGGGCCATATGAGCCCTCTGCTTCCTTGGCTGACTGTTGATAGGGCTGGTCTCATGTGGGCTCAGTACAGGTTAAGTATTATTAGTGGATCCTAGCTTCAACTCCAGGTATGAGATATGTAACTAACATGGAGTACCTGCACAAGACAGGAAATACAGGAGGGAACAGGGTAGGTGGGGGGTTTAGCCTTGGAAAGGGGAATAGTAGAACACAGGATAGATAAAAAGAAAGTAATGAGGGAGAAAGGTGGGTAGAAAGGTTTAGGCAGGAAGAGAGGGGGTAGGGTGGGGATGGATTAGGGAGATGAGGGTCCAAGACAAAGGGAGCATAAAGAAATCATTTGGAAAGATACGCCCGCCTATGCAATAGTGGTTTGACTGTAGGCGTGTGTGAGGGGGGAGGTAACTAACTGCCCTCTGAATGGGTTCAACACCCACTTGGAGGAGGGGAACACACCAATCCCTGGTACTATAAGCCTGGAAACAACACAGGTATAGGGAGGTAGTAGCCCATGTGGGAAACATACTTCTGATGGTTAACTAAATGAACATAGCAGCAAATGGCCTTCGAAATACCTACGTTTATACCCACAGACAAAAGAAGACTGCAGCCTTAATCAGAGAAGCCTCTGCTTATGATGAATAGTGGTGAATACAGAGTGCATGGCTGCCCAAGATGCAGAGAATAAGTGACAGATGTGGGCCCAGCCCTAACAAGACACCCACCCTCTCTACAGCTAATGAACACTGCAGAAGGGGGTTGAAAGAATGTAAGAGCAAGAAACTGGGGTGAAGTCAATGAAGCACCCTCCTTAGTTGCAATGTAACTACTGTAATCAGTAACCCACATTCAATTAAAGTTTTTTTTGTTTTATTTATTTTTATTTTACATATGTGAATGTCATGCCCGCATGTGTGTAAGTGCACCTGTGTCATGCAGTGCCTGAGGAGGACAGAAGAGGGTGTTAGATCCCCTTGAACTGGAGTTACAGACATTTGTTAGCTGCCATGTGGGTACTGGGATTTGAACTGGGGTCTTCTGCAAGAACAATCAGTGCTATTAACTGTAATCCATCTCTCCAGCCTCTAGATTCAAAATTTTTTAAGAATCATGATTTTGGGCTGGGGAGATGGGTTCAGTGAGAAAAAGCACTTCCATGAGGACCTGATCTTAAATTCTTAGAACCCAACATAAAGCTGGACACATACTGCGAGTGTCTGTGAGCCCAGTGCTTCTATGGAGAGATGGGAGGCTGAGGAAGGAGAATTCCCAGAAGCTCATGGCCAGGCAGCTTGGCATGTGCAGTGGAAAAATAAGAAAAAGACTCCACCTCATACAAGGTGGAACATGAGGACTGACACTTGAGGCTGTCCTCTGACCTCCACATGCGTGCCCCCTCCCCATCAAGATTTCACCTTTGCAAACATTATGCTTACGGGTTCTAAGGTCACTCTTTGATATGCCCACTGGGAATTGCTAACAGAGCCAGGGAGTGGTGCTGCCTGAGGTGCATGTCAGTGGGGCTTATCCCTAGGCATCACGTTTTTGGCCCTTGGAGTAAATCAAAGCAGTAACAACTTGCATTTTGCTGACTCTGTTTCTCTGTTCTTATTTCCTCTTGATTTTGTACTTATTTTTGTTTCTACTTTGTACATGACTGACAATTTGGCATAGCCAGTAGTGAGTTATAGAACTTCATTCTTTTGGGTCAGAGAGACTAGAGTATCTGGCTTCTAGCTAACTTCTGCTTATATGTCTGTATTTGAGCTCAAATCAATTAGACATTTAGATGGGTACCATGATGTACTCTACATTAGAGTAGAAATATGGTGTTATTTTGCTTTGCTAGGCTGCTAAAATGCTTGTATGAGACAGTTCTCAAATGTCTATATTCTCTCTCCTCCCAATTTTTTTCATGCAATATAAATTAGTTACTTTTGTAATTATTATAATTAAATGAATAGTAGTGTCAGGTATGGTGGTGTAGACTTATAATTCCAGCACTTGGGAGGTAGAGGCTGGAGGAGCAGGAGTTCAAAGTCATCTTTGGCAACTACTGTAAGTTTGAGATTATGTTGAGGTACATGAAACCCTGTCCCCAAAACAAACAATCTTCTCTCCAACAAACACCCCTGCCCCCAAGACTATGTGCCAGGTGAAAAAAGAAATACAAGTAAGTAACTTTTTTTTTTTTAAAGACTAATATTATCTTAAATCAGTTGTTCCAAAGGCCAGAGGCTCTCTCTTTAAAACTTGATATAAAAAACTTTAGTTTAAAAGAATGCTAACTATAAATAATTATTGTATTTTAAATTAAAATGAAAAAAGGATGTATTTGAAAATTGCAATGGATTAATTCCATTTTGACATTACAAATGTTTTCAAAACAGAAAAACCTAATAAAATACCACTGTTTAATGTTTGTGAAAGTATTTTGACTGTCTGGCTTAATGAGAGAGAGAGATAGCTATTTATACTCTACTGAATTTATTACCATTTATTACCATGCAGTATCTAGCCTATGGAAAACTCTACTGTGTACTTTCAAGAGAAGAACACTAAAGGCAAACTTAAAGTGCCAATCTGTCCAGGAATATGAAGTGGAAAAATGAAGGGCATGACTTGGAAAGGAGTTTATTTGCTTTGCTTTAAAATATCTGAAGAAAGCCTAGATAAGGCATTACAGTGTTGGCAAAGTTCCCTCAGTCCTGATGACTGCCTTGATTTACTGATTACTACTTCTGACTACAATGTGAAAGGATACATTTTACATGCTGTAGAATCTGCCCAGCTGGCAGATTCTGTGTTGTCAGAATTATTTTCAGTTATTTATGTTGACTATCGTCTTTGATTATTTAAGATGGGAAGGAAAGAAAGGGTCCTTACTTGGGGAAAAGGCTCAATTCTTTAAAACTTGTTATTTTCAATGTTTAAGATATTCCTTACTGCTTTGTGCAGATACCAGTGTTCCTGTCCTAAACAAGTACCTCGGACTCAACAGCAAGCACAGTTATTTTTGACTTTTCAAACTGAATCTCTATATTAAAAATGTTTAATGTTTATAAGATTTTTATGCCAAAACTCAGAAATTTCCCCGAGTGGTCCTAGAAAACTATTAAGATCTGTTCCTTCACCTTCTGAAGACATACTATTCACAGATGCATTCCATGTGCTACTATTTTCAGAGTTAAGGTTGGACTGGAGCCAGCAGCAGAATGCTTACCTGGCATGTGTGAGGCTCTGGGTTCAATACCTAACACCACAGAAAGAGAATAAAAAGGGCCAGGCGTGCTGGCTCATGCTGGTTATTCCAGCACTGGCAGATTGAGGCAGGACTACCATGGATTTGTGGCTGGGATGAGTTCCAGTTCTGGGCCAGTTCTTTAAGAACTGATCTAAAAACAAAAGCAAAGCAAAACAAAGCCAAAAAAAATTTTTTTTAAGATTAAAAAAAAAATTGTAAGAGTTTTTGTGTGCATGTATGAATGTGCACCATATTTGTACCTGGTGCCCATGGAGACCAGAAAAAGGTGTCAGATCCCCTGGAACTGGAGTCACAGATGGTTGTAAGCCATCCTGTGGGTGCTAAGAACCAAATCCTGGTCCTCTGTAAGAGAAGTAAGTAGTCTTAACCACTACTGAGTTATCTCTCCAGCCCCCAAAGCAAAACTTTTAAAAAGTTTTTTCCTAGGTTGTTAGCCTTGGTCAAATGTTATTAGTAATTGCTTTGTTTTGTTTGTTCAAAATTTTATTTTTATAGAAGACCCCAGAGATTTGCAAATGTTCTTACTGTTGTGCTTATTAGGAAATGGTTAGGGAGGATATCTTAATAGAGAACTTATTCTGTCTCATTCTGATATTATTGGTCACAGTACATACTAACCATTCAGTCGTTAAGTCTCTATAACCTAGAGCTATCCTTTGTATTACTTTGATGTTTGCCTGAAGGTTCTGCTATAAGCTCAAACCAGGTTTGCGACTTCCATAAAGGATGGCCTCAGTCTTTTCATGGAAAAGACTGGCTGTATCTACCGGGGATTTAAAAATACTGACATTCTGAAGAACAGAGCCTTGGTCTCAGGCTACTGCTTGTCATCACATTGCTTAGACAGTGCTTAAGCTGTGTAGTGAACTGAGTCAGGATTCCCTTGGATTCTGCCCTCTTTGTTCTGGTTACAG